ACGCTCTTAGATGATCTTCGTTATAAAAAATTTGTCGTATTTTTTCTTTTGATATTGGTCTGTTAAAAGTTGGTTCATATTTTGGAGGAAAGGCTTTGTATATATTGTACCACAATGGTACATTTTCTTCTTGTAATGCTTTTCCTTGCACCAATGATGTTATTCTAAATAAAACATCTAAAATTATCTTAAAATTATGAAACTTAGTATACAGTATATAATTAAAATATTAAATTTCAAATGAATTTATTTCTGCGCTTTCGGCTATTTCATTTCTAATTTCTAATACAGTAATGTATAATATGTATTATAACTTCCTGGGCAATCTACGTAAGAATAGTACTGCAATTCTTAACCTATTTCATGTTAAATGTTTCATATAAGGTTTTAAAAAATGTATGCAAAACAGTTTAACCTGGAAAAAACTGTTCCAATCCTTTCTGCTCTGCTACGTGCCATATTTTATATACGAAATCACAATTCACAAATTACAAGTTTACATATATATGTATATTATACGTAATAAGCTTAGTAGATTTGTTAAGTTGTTTACTTGATCGAAGACAGTGAGTATCTGATGTTTTATCCATCTGTATACGTAACCTTAAATGTTTTCATATAACATAATAGTTTAACATGTGTTTATTGGTTTAAAAATTATTCGTATGGATATATAAATTGACATCAAAAGTAATATAATTTAATAAAGTGTAAAAATTATTAACAAAATTTATATTTTGAATTTTATTTAAGGTTAAAAGTGTTCATTAAAAACTTGAAAACAATATGTTGGAAGTTGACGAAAATCAAATTTTTGCAATAGGTCGTGTATTAAACGACCAAAACCGGCCATTAAAGGAAAGATTTCGTGCCTTGTTTACTTTAAAAAATATCGGCGGGTCTAAAGCCATTGAACAAATTCATATTTGTTTTAAAGATGAATCAGCCTTGTTAAAACATGAACTTGCATACTGTCTTGGTCAAATGCAAGATTCCCGTGCTATACCATTTCTTATAGAAATATTGAAAGACACTACACAAGAACCAATGGTTCGTCATGAAGCAGGTAATATATATTTGTTATTTTCTTGTCATGCTCTATTTGCTAATACTTGTAGTTTTAAATAATATATTTCTTCTTCATAACAGGTGAAGCTTTAGGTGCAATTGGAGATCTTAGCATAATGCCACTATTAGAAGAGTACAGCAAAGATTCTGTACCAGAAGTTGCAGAAACATGTCAGTTGGCATTATGTCGATTACAATGGTTAAAGTCAAACAATAATTTAAGAAACTTACAAAAAAGCCCTTACAAGTCAGTGGACCCAGCACCACCAGCAGATATTACTGATGTTGAGAAATTAAAAGAAATTCTTTTAGATGAAAATATTCCCTTATTTGAAAGATACCAAGCTATGTTCTCATTAAGAAATATACATACTCCAGAAAGTATTCTTGCTCTTGGTGAAGGTAAATATAGTAATGATGTCTCCATTTTTTTAAGCTGTGTTATTTTATTTACATTGTTTGTAATTTTATGTAAACATTAAAAATCTTTGGTCCTTGCATAAATAGGCTTAAAGGTAGGCAGTGTTTTGTTTAAACACGAGATAGCTTTTGTCCTTGGACAGTTACAAGAAGAAATTGCTGTCCCACATTTGGAAGCTTCTTTAAAGGATTCAAAGGAAAATGAAATGGTGCGACATGAATGTGCAGAAGCATTAGGCTCGATTGCGACTCCAGATTGTTTTGATATTTTAAATAAATACATCAACGATAATAAAAGAGTTGTACGGGAAAGTTGTGTAATTGCGTTGGATATGTGCGAGTATGAAAACAGCTCGGAATTTCAGTATGCTGATACATTATCGAAAGTTGCGGCCTAAAATTTTATTTCTATGTATATCTATAAAGAAAGAAAAATTTTAGTAATAAATTAAAATAAACTGAATAAAATACTATGTAATAAATGTAAAATTTATTATTAATTTAGAATAGCAAGAACTATTGTAAGAAAACATTGTAATTTATAATAAATGATAATGTAAAAATTTATTGGTTGTATTTTTGATCATCGTTATTGAAATTAAACGTGATTTTCAGTTGTGCAAATGTCACGCATGTCATAATATTCGGAAACTTCAAACGTTTAAAATTTCCAAAATGGGAAACTTCCTTAACTATTCATTTACTCGCTTGAAAGGTAAAAAAGCCTGTGACTCGAGTTCACGAATCGAATGTCGAGATTTTGAGAAAATAAAAGAAATTTGGCAGATTATCGAACAGGATAGCGCGCATTACGGATCTGCAATTTACACCGTGTAATTGTGAACTGTCACAACATCGTTCTTCAATATAAAATTACGGAGCAAATTGATCATTTAACACGTAGTAAACTAATTTGCAGGATTTTCAGGGATTATCCACAATACGTCAAGTATTTTGAAGACGATTCAATTCCGGAATTTATTCAGGAGGCTAAAATTAAAAAAAAGTTTACCAATATATGTAATATTACAAGCGGTTTGCTTATACATTATCACGACAAACCGTCCCAAAGAAATTATTTTCTTGGCTACATCGCGATGGTGCATAAAGACATGGGATTAACGTTGAGGGATTTCGAAGTTTGTCATTTTTCTTATGCAAATACGGAAAGAAAGAATATTGTCTAACGTAAATTAAATACCATTTATAGAACTTTGCATCTGGTATAACAGAAGCGTTAATTATAGAGTCACCTCATTTAATGACCGAGGACTGCATCTTGGTACAAACAGAGTATTTTGATAGGTTAAACCAGTTAATAGTGAAACTTATGGACGAACATACTAAAAAAATGATAGAAATATTACATGTGAGCGAAGGAGTAAAGAATGTATGCATTTCTTAAAAGAATCTTATTGAATTAATCACTTTCACGAACTTCTGCACAATTAAACGGAAATGTTTAACAGTGTTATACGTGTAACACTGATCCAGAGTCGCAAGTTATGTACGGTTTCCCATTAAAATATTGGCTTTACAAGAAACGATACTGGGAATATCGAAAAGCGATTTGGACGTCAATGGAAGCGGACAAGGTGGTTAATTCTACAATAAAATCGAATATTGAACAGGTTACAAATGCGCATCCTCGTCGAAAGTTTGTGGAAAGTAGGAGATCGAAACGTATGAAACAAAGAAAAGCAAAATCTGCGGGCATGAGCACTAATTCAACTAACGGTGCGTTAAGCCAAGCACGAAGTATAGCAATATTTTCAATTATGCAGCGTATTGTAATCACTGGAATAACCTAAAATTTCAAATTAGAAATAATTAGGCTTACGTTCTAATTGAACACCACAAATATTGTTTGAGGTTATTAATAAAATTTCTTTGAAAGGGGGGAATACTCGAGGTGATCGTACTAGCCAAGCGACTAGAATCTCCTGGTTATTATTAAAGAAAGGCAAGAACAAAAAGATGCAAACTGAAAATGGTTTTAAATCGAAATTGTCTCCTATGAAAACCATTCAGGAGGTAAACAACCGATTTGCTTATACTCGTTTCATTTATCATATAAACAATATTTTATTATATTACATACATAGTACAGTGATATCCAAAACAATCATGATAGCGCTGACATTCTACAATCAAATATGAAAAGTCCTCCTGGTAACAACGATGATTTCAAAAATACAAACACGTCATATGCACCGTACACATCCCCGTTAGAAATGCAAGAAAGTACATACATATATATAAAAAATATATATATATATTTCTTTTTTCACGCTTAGCAAGTAATTTTCATATTTTCATTTTATCGCTCGTCAATGAGGATGATGAGACAATATTCTTTCATGATAAAGGTAGAAAAGCGAGTGTTTCAAGCCAGACGGCAAGAGAACGTAAACGAATGCGTGATTTGGGCCTCGCTCAGTCTGTCGATAACAATTTGGTACGAAATACAGTTAGGTTTTGTAATCATCTTGATATCTTTTGCCGCTTATACCGCATTATAACATTGTCAGTAATTTATTTTTCAGTTTCCTTCTCTATATCAACGTTCTCTATGAAACACAGATGTTTATTAAAGAAACTTTGGATGACTGAATTTGGAACGATATTTAAAGTTGGAGCGATATTTAAAGTTGGAGCGATATTTAAAGTTGGAACATTTTTTGAAATTGGAACGTTTTTTGAAGTTGAAACGATATTTGAAGGTTTACCTAAAAAGGAAACGGAAACAGACAAATATGAAAAATACTTAGAAAATAATTAGAATGGAAGAAAGATCATTTATTTCATTTTGTCTCATTAAGGTCTTCTGCCTTAACCGGCGATACTGCTATTTTTTTACTATCTTTCTCTTTTAGAATATTCTGGATTTCCATGAAAGATTTGCGCGCCGTTTCTGGCATATAGATCGACGCGACAATTGCCACTACAAGCTCGACAATGGCGAAGAAGAGAAAGAGTACATGATAGCCAAACTGTCTCTGTATAATGCTATAACATTGCGTTACGACTAGACCGAGTAGGGATCCGTATGTGTTTGCAATCGTAGTTGCCCAGCTTTTCACGCTTATCGGGAAAATTTCCGAGATGAAAACAGACGGGATGGTGGCCAAACCAAATGAGAAGAAAATTAGGTAAAGGAAAACAGCGATTAACGGTATTATAGACAAACTCTCGATTTTCATACCAATTTTGTTCAGGAGGAAGTACAGTCCAACGACAAGAAGGCACAGAGAAGTGCTGTACGATGATGTTAAGAAAACAAGTCTTCTGCCTAGCCTGTCTATAATGAACGTAGACAATACACTCATCACCAAAGATATGCTGCCCATTATAATAAGCACGAGGTTGGTATTAAGGGACAAATGCATGTCTATGAGCAATGTTACAGCGTACGACTGAATGGCTATAAATCCGGACAACTGTTGACCCGCCAGCAATAACAGCACCAGCAACATTGCGATCTTGTAAGTTGAATGCCTGTACAAGTCCATGACGCTGCCTTTTTCTTCAGCTTTTATGAACTCCTTTATTTCGTTGATCTCTGCAGTGTTGTCCTTTGTGCGCCTCAGCCATACCAAGGAGAGTGCTGCGTACTTTTCCCTCTCCCTTTTCAAGTAATAATAAGGCGATTCAGGTATCCACGGAGCCGTTAAGAGAAATACCACACAGGGCACCAAACAGACTAACGCCATCATCTGAAAGAAACGTGCGAACATATGACACTCTTGAACGATCCTTCGAATGATTTGACGTGTTAAGAAATGTGAACTATTGTATTTGGTAGGACAGAACGCATTCGTCGATTTTTATCGGTCAGAAATCAGAAATGGTTCATATCGTGAACCACGTATAGGGCGCAGAAAAATTGATTCTTATGAACATTACAAGCGGCAAGTAGGAGGTTCTAATCTATACTTGTAACTCTATACAATCGACATCGTTGGCGAAACTTTATTATCAACCGTTCATCTCGAAAATTATTCCGTTCGCGACATATGCGACGTATGCTGCTTTCTCAAGCTTCCCCTCTTCTTCTCGAGCAGAATACGCCGATGTGAAAAGAAATTTAACATAAATTTTCAACGTTGTAAACAATTTTGCGACAAGTTTTTCTCCCCTCACCCAAAAGCTGCGAAAATTAATTTTTTTTTCCACATCCTTCATGGTACGATTGATCGAAATGTTTCGTTCTTCGTGAAAAATACAAGTTAATAATAAATAATCCGACCGCGACTTCGATCCTTTTGGAAAATCCATCGACGATTGCGTTTAAACCGTGTGCACTGTTTATCTTTATATCAACACTGTTAAAAAATTCGTCCTCATGGAAGCAAAAAAAAAAAATACTTCTACTCTTAAAATCAGTGGAGATAGTTTCGGTGCAAGAGATAAAAACGGACCACCTTGTATATACAATTAAGATAACAAATTGTCAAACATCGAAGCAATAAATTATCGGTGCGTTTGCATAAGTGGTGATACGACAGCGAGGGCAATAATTTCTAATGTAATCAAGATCGTCGCGTTTTTTTTTTTTTTTTTTTTTTGAAACCATGCTACTGGTGATGTCAGCTGAACGTTTTATACAGAGAGAGATGCGTAAAAGCGTGTGACCAAATTTTACCAACGTAAAGCGACACGATCGATCTTTCAACTCGGCTTAATAAACGATGTATTGAAAAAGTGATACTTCGTTGTATTTCCAATTTAACGGTATCGCTTTCGTGACGTTTCACTTTTAGAAATTTCTAAAAAATTACCTTTCTGTCCAACCGCGGACCAACACCGTACATAACGATGTATCCCAGATTAAGAAACAAGCTCATCATAGTGCCGGCCGACCCTCTGATTCTCGGCTCCATAAGTTCACCGAGGTACACAGGAACCATGGTGTAGATGGCTCCAATCGATACGCCGGATATTAATCTTGCCACGATATATAATGTCCAACTCTTTGCTAAATAAGTGAGTATCCACGAGGCGATGAACGGAAACGTGGTGCCGTAAAGGAACCATTTTCTGCCGATGCGGTCCAACAGTAAAGCGGACAAAATTGGTCCGAAACATGCGCCTATTGGTGTTGCTGCTACTACCCAACTTCCTTCGTTGGTTTCCAAATTTAACTTAGCAACTGTTACCCAGGAGAAGGCAAGTCCACAGGAGATCAACGGTAGATTGACTTGAAAAAGAGAAAAGGAACGAAACGATATAGGAGACTTATCGGATACGTACAGTCGGTCGCAGAAGTATTTGAACACTCTCTAGAACAGGATAACTTTTTCAAAATTCGACTAAACGACTTGAGTTTTTGTTTTTGAGAAGTTAGAAGTATTAGTTTATTAGACGACGTGTGCGAAAAATTTTGAAAAAATTACAAGAAAATAGCGAAGGTCGCTTTTACGACTTTTTTATCCGAGCTTGTAAAGAAAATTTGAAAAATAGGTTTTGTAGATTTATGTCGATTGTATACGCATTGAAAATTTCATCGAAATCGGTGGATGCAGAAACAAGCAAAATAGGTTTTGTAGATTTATGTCGATTGTATACGCATTGAAAATTTCATCGAAATCGGTGGAAGCAGAAACAAGCGGTATACGTCGTTCAAAATGAGAGTAACCTCGCTCTCGGACCGATTGTCGTCCGTTCTGCGCATAGACAGAGAGCGTAGCAAAGGGTAAGACGGAGAAAAACATAGGTGGTTAAGTGGGGGTTTGGACGTTCTAGTGGTTCTAGCCCTGCCTTAGGCACGTCCCATGCGCGAAGCGAGGTTACTCTCATTTTGAACAGAGAAATAATGCGATTTTCACAATTTTTCACCGTTTGTAGATCGTAGCAACGTTAAGCGATTCTGTTTTAAAGGGGGTGTAAAATACTTCTGTGACCGACTGTTTATGCGAGTCGAAGTGGATGGAGTTATGGTGAAAGAAAGATGGCGGACAAATTTTATTCAATCTTGCCAAATTATCTCGTTTCAAATGCTTCTTCTTTACCGACAGGTTGAAATTTATTACTGTTTGCAACGGTTTATCAAATGAAATAATAAGTAGTCTTATTTGAATGTAGATCTTCCGACTTCATGTTTATAACGTTGGATATGGAAAAAAGGCGTTTATTTCGACGACCATAATTTAGCCATTTTTCATAGTAATCGATCAGTTCGTTTGATAGTTTTCGTTTTACACGTAGCAGTAATAAATTCGTAGATCTAACAGATGCAGCGGTAATTTCACTTTTAAACTGAACTTTCAGAGTGTTAATGTCGAAAATGTTCCTTAATTCCTAAATACAAGCAAGGTACTAATGTCGAAAGTGTTTCTTAATTGCTAATATAAACGTAACACATAGATCTACCAGCTTTATGATTTTATTTCCTGTGCACACCGTTGATCTACATACATCCGCGACTTTTTTCCTTTCTTACTCCTATCAGGATAACCATTGAAAATTTTATAATACAAATTCACCGAATTCACCTCACTAAACGCATCTCCGACAAAACTTTCACTTAAAAGTATCTTCTTAGCCGGTATAATTATGATAAAAAGAAGTAGTACGAAACATGCGACATTAGGGAGCAACCCCTAAAGAAAAGCGAGATCTTAGGAAGAATGGTGTTCGTTGATTTTCACAAGGATCGCATATTGACATAATTCTCTATCCGCTTGTGCACATAGAATCGCTATGAACTTCGATAGATATCACCCGCGACTTAATGTGAAAAATCACGTTTCTTCCCGCATGATTCGAATTGTTAAGCAGCGTTCTTTTTTCTTTATGGAGACTGTTTTCATATACAAAGTACGTTCGCGGGACGCACCACGTTCCATTGCTTCCAAATTTAGTAGCAAAATGATATATTACTATTTTCTATTCCTTTCTGTTGTCCAACAACATCGAGTAAATATATTCTGACGTAAAAAATATGTACCTATTACACTAGCTATTATTTGCGACCGCCGCGACTTCCGTTCGGCGTTCCCGCTTCCTTCTTCCGCAGTCATTGTTACTTCATTGATTTATCCTGCACAGAAAACAATAGTTTTCGTTATTTGATACAACATGAAAGTGAATTCGATTCCATAGCTAGCCAATGTGATATTAAGGATTTTCGACTTCGATGGAAAGAGAAGAAAACGTTGTCGTAACAAACGTCGTAGTAAAACAGTCTCGTACTTTTTTTTTTGTTTTGTTTTACAGTACCTGAATTGCATGCAAACGATTAAAGCGATGTCGCAATTTTACCACCTGCAGTTATACACCAAAGCCAGGTTTGTCAACAGGAAGATGATCGTTTATCATCGCACGTTCCTTCGTCAATGGAACAGATAATGCAGCGAAGATTTATACTGTCACCTCGAGGATCGTTTTTAGTTGTTCAGTTATTCAGTTTACGTTATTCGACGGAATATGGCATCGCGCGTTCCTTTTAAACCCTTTCGTTGCGGCAAAATTTTGGAAAAATTTTTAAATTTATCCTTTGAAAAATTAAGGCAGAAGTACGCGGAGTACGAGAATTAAGGCTTGAATTAAGGTGGAAAAGTGTGCCGAAAAGTGCCAGCAGCACAGTGTGAGAAATTTTTCAAAATGTCTATAAGTTAGACACGGGGCGAAAAAATTTTCAGAACGCCTATAGGCGCCAAGATCACAGCGCGAGAAAATATTGAAAACGCCTATAGGCGCCAAGATCACAGCGCGAGAAAATATTGAAAACGCCTATAGGCGCCAAGATCACTGTGCGAGAAAATATTGAAAACGCCTATAGGCGCCAAGATCACAGCGCGAGAAAATATTGAAAACGCCTATAGGCGCCAAGGACGGCGCGAGAAAATTTCCAAAGCGCTTATAGGCGCGAAAGGGTTAATTTCCTGACACAATCACGTCCGTGGAAATTCACGAACCTTCAGATTCTATGAGCTTTAGTAACTTCTCAGGACTATCGACCTTGTTCATTGTATATGCGTCAATTGAAAGTAGTATGAATGATACTAAACGTTGTAAAACTAGTTACCACTTTCCTTTTGACACGAACATGCCAGAAGGGCTACTTTTTTTTAGAGATTAGGACTTCGCTAATTATTAGCATGCACTTCGAGGGTTAAAATATATCCTGATGAGAATAAAGTTACGTTTGCAATGCAGAGTTTTTAGAAGGTTGTTACACTCGCTCGGAGATTGTGTCTTAAAGAGAGCCTTACGAAGGGTGCATCAGAATTCAGTTGTAACAGTCCAAAACTTGAATGAGAAATCCCTCGTTGTTTCTAAATATTCACCACTTTCAGCTGAAACATCGTTACCCCGTCTTCAAGGTAACGCGTGCTAATTGGCGCTAATTGGTCACGCTGATCGACGATTACGCATTTTTAGGAATTACTTTATCAGCGTGCATTCGACAAGTAGAGAAAAAACGAGTCGCCCAGACAGTCGAATCGTATTGAATGCCTAGCAATCATGTTAGGCACATAAAAGTAGCACATTAGCAATTAGCCTAGTGAACTCGGCATTAAGGGGTTAAACCACCCCTAAGATCTGAAAATGACACCTAACTTTGGAATTTCTTTTTTAAGAAAATAATCGACCTAATCAAGAACTTCTCCTAAGAGCGTTGTTATATTACCCTTAAAGAATATGAAAGTATTTTATCACTTAATTTCTTTAGAAAATGGCGGCGTTACAGGCGCATTGGCGAACAAGAAACGTTCAGTTTGTTCTTCTGTATAGATAGTTCAGAGTTAAGTTAAGTAAAACGATCGAATAAACGACTACTTTTCATTCTCTCGCCAAAAGAAAAAACGAGAAATATCCTTACATCCTCCAACAATCAGAACGATCAATCCCAGCTACGTAACAAGAACGAAACAAACACAAAATAAAATATTTCCACGTGGAAAAAGCGGAAAAATTAAGCAAAGTGACACATCTGTCCGACAAATAAAAAAAGAACAAAGCAGCGTATCATCTGAGCGTTTCCAGCTACACACACCATGGCGCAAGGTTTAATCCATCGAGAGACGGTAACCTTTTGCGTATCGAGATAAATCCCGTACGAATCGATCAACCGAATGTGTAATGTCCAACGATCGTGAAATGAAATAATTCAGGGCTGTTCACGCCTACAATCGTACAACCACCGGTTGGCTCCTTTTTCCCAATAAAAGGAAAGGATCGAAGAATCATCAGGCGTTGATCGAACGCACGAAAAAATGTCAGAAGGGTTCAGTGACACAAAGGCGTGTTAAGCAGTCGAATCAGTTAACCGATTTAACCACGTTGGTTACTGATAGTGTAAAGAGGCTTAATCCTTTAATCATTTAACCGTGTGGCATTAGTAGCAACGATCAAGCGGAGGGGGTGGATTTAAAATAGCATTAGATAGGCAGTGCAGAGTCAGTCGGGCTCGAAGAACGAGTAGTAGTCGTCGTCCAACCGTGTCAGCGATTGAGCGAATTGAAACTACACAGTACGTGGCACGTGACATATCATACAGAATTACGGTAATTGTGGTGACTCGAATCGACCGCTTTGCACGCTGATAAACGACGCGATCATTACGTGATCTAAACGAATCGATCTATATCCAACGAGAGGAGCATCCAGACCCTCTCTCGTTCTCTATCCTTCCTCCTTTCCGCTTCTCGTCATCGATCACCTCTCACAAATGTCACGTTTCTTATCATCGACGTGCGTGTGTTTTCTTGTCGTTTCATGGAGAAAAGAAAAAAAAGAAAGAAAATATACATTTTCGTCTTCTTTCTGCGAAGGATTGCCCCTTTTTTCTCTCCCTCGACTATAATCTGACCACACGGGAACCATGGGGACATTTCTTCGTTTCCTTGGGATCACGAACGACGATAACAGAATCGATCAGGCGACGGGATTGACGGAGAGACAAAAGAAATTAGTGCAGAACACGTGGGCTGTGATTAGAAAGGACGAAGTTGGCTCTGGAATTGCTGTGATGACCGCGTAAGTTTGCGTTTTCGCTGCTTCTTTAGGGGGGAAATTTTAGAATCGGAGAAAGTGTTGATACGTTTTTCAAGTCGGGCTGGATTTTTGGAAATTGGCGAGCATAGAGAATGAAACGTTGTTTAAGTGGTTTCTCAATTGGTGAGTTTCGCGTATTTATTTGTTGCACGTTGCTCAACTATCTAGTGGGTAACTGTAAATAAGAGATTCAGATGTGTGTACAGTTACTACGAGAAATGTTCGGACGCTGTATAAGCTTATCTTTGTAGCGACGTATTTTTAATTACGAAGGATTGTGTTTTTGATGATTTCTCGTTACGAAACTTTGTTTATCGCACTTTGGGAATACGCGTTGTTAGTTTAGACCATCGTGTGACATTGTAATAGAGATTAATCGAAACTGTGTGTAATCAGTATGTTGCACAAATATTCGGATACTTGGCAAAAATTAATAGTTTTAATATCTATATTACAATGTTCATATTCGTGATATTTTATATTTTAAATGTTAATGTTTGAAATATGAAAATGTTTAAAAAAACAATTTCTAAAATATTAAAATATTTACAGTATTAAAATTTTTAAAATATTAATTTTCAAAATTTTACAATATTTAAAATATTAACTTTCAAAATTAGGAAATATTTAAAATACTAATTTTAAGAATACTAAAATTGTAAAAATATTAATTTTCACAATATTAAAATGTTTAAAACACTGAAATATTACAAATATGAAAATGAATAATTTGAACTACGAATATTCAAAATATTACTATTTTAAACATTACGAGTGTTTCTGCCTTTTGGCAAAATATTAATATTTTAAACATTGTGAACGTTGTTTGGCCGTGTTTACCGGTTGTTTTGTCAGTGTCCGAGTATTTTTGGGAGTAACTGTATATAACAACTGAATATTCTCAATGTTACGAACTGCATTGTAAACGTATATTATTGGTAACATATATTGGCAATAGGTACGATAGTAACGCAATGTTTATCTTAATCGACGACATTAAGAGATAAACTAATCTCTATTCACAGAATTTCATGTTATTCTCTCTTTCATTTCTCTTCTTTCTTTCTTACTTGTAGAATTTTCATTTTTTTTCACTCGTTTTGTCGCTTTAATTAAATTTCATTTCTTTAACTTTGGACATTCTTTTCTCTTAACAATCGTTAATTCACACGATCTCTTGTCCCGTTGATTTCTATTTTTTATTAATATGTAATGCGTCGCACAAATCGTTTGCACTACTCCTTCTATTGTGTGCAAGTAAAAGCTGATGAATCATCGGTCGCCGATGTTAATAGAGCTCTATTACTATGACAAAGTCTCGAAGTTCGTGGCTATTAGAAGTAGTAAATCAACAACGAATTTATTTTCGATGATAGAACGATTTAAGTGACATCCTTGCCCGAAATATATACAGTCGCTGTCAAAAATATTCGGACACTGTATAAGCTTTAATATTTTTAATATTCATAGTGCAACGTTCAAATTCATAAAACTAGAAATATCAAAGTACTTAAAATATTAATCTCTAAAATCGTGAAATATTTGAAATATTAACTTTTGAAAACTTAAATTATTTGCAACATTAATTTTTAAGAAATTAAAAGTTTTTGAATATTAATTTTCAGAATATAAAAATTTTTTAAATATTAACTTTCAGAACATTAAAATTCTTTAAATGTCAATTTTTAGTGTACTAAAATTTTCAAAATATTAATATTTCAGATATTACGAATATTTTTCACTGCACCGTGCCTAACGGTTGTTTCCTCAGCGTCCCAATATTTTTTGGAGTAACTGTATCCTACGTATATACATTCTCCTTTTCAACGAAACAAATTCTTGCAGCGATTGGCACGTTTCGCAATTTGAAAACGCGTGCGATAATTCTTTTCAGATTATTTAAAAAGTATCCAGAGTACCAACGATACTTCACCGCTTTCATGGACACCCCGTTGAACGAACTACCGGCTAACAAACGGTTTCAAGCTCATTGTGCCAGTGTAATTACGGCCTTAAATAATGTTATCGATTCCTTGCACGACCCAGGATTAATGGAGGCGAGCCTAATTGGTTTGGCCGAGAGGCATAAAAAACGCGGCCAAACGAAAGAAGAATTTCAGGTACGAGTAACGAAAGTAACAGTAGAAAATCGATCCAACTCTGCCTGCTGGTTTCTGCCTCGGTGTCATTCAAAAGCGAAAGGAACTCTCCTCGTACTAAACATTTCCCTTCCACCGAAAAACCGTATAAGTATTTCTTTATGTGACAAGAGAAACAAAATAAAAAATGGCTCTTGGAAGCGTTATCGGAAGAACGAATTCGATCGATAATACTAATTTGCCCAAAAGAGAAAAGAAATGTGCAAGAATTGTCTCATCAGAATGCATATTTTCGATTTTTAGAATTTGAAAGAGGTGATGTTGGAAGTTCTTCGCCAAGCATTGGGAAGACAATTTACACCGGAAGTGGCCGAGGCGTGGAGCAAAACACTGGAAGCGGTGTTCACGAAAATTTATCAGGTTTTCGCTTCTTGAAGGGAGAACTTCGATTTATCCACGAAGACGATTCATCTTTAATTGAATAGTCACTGAGAATTAAATGTTGTATATAAAATGCACTATTTTACATAATCGCACGATTAGAACGCGTTCGATCAACATGAAAGAAAAAACAAAAAGTGTCTCGAAGTGTCTATCGGTGCATATCGAATAGAAATATACGTATATATTTCTATATTCGAGATTATTCATTCTTGTGCACAGTGATTTTAGTATATACCTGTATTTTCATTTCTTTTTGTATTCCACATGTTGAGTAATTGAACGTTTATAATTGAAATCACACGTTTGTTTATTAGATCAGAGTAAAACCGAACTATTTTCCTTATCTCGTAGCTTTCTCTTTTCGATATTCGATAGATTTAATTAAATCGTATTTAGAGACAACGAGCCTGTAAATTTGTACATTACCGACAGCTTCAATTGTAACAAATAATCTTCGAATTGCTCCGGATTTCTCCAACACGTTACCAATATCCCGATCGATAAATCTTGCGAAGAGAAATACACATAATAATCTCTTGGTTTTGCATTCTACTTTATATACGACGATTACGTCGTTTCACTCTTACTTTTGGTATCTCTAAATTATCTCCGAACTGACATTGTTCTGTATAACCCGGTCATTCGCTGAGATCTGTTTAATAAAACGTAAAACACAGAATTTTCATGGCAATCGAAAGGTTCTTCGAACCTTGTCTAACCTTCACAACGAATTTCAGACTTTGGTGGAAGAAAAGAGAGGAAAAGAAGTACGGTCCCGATGAAAAATTGCTATTGAATTGAACAAAACAGGCGACTCGAGAATGTCGAATCTAAACGGATGATAACGAAATGAAGGACGAAGAGAGGCCGTGAAATAATACTTGTACGGCGGTGATTTCACGAGGGGAGGCGCGTATTTTTCGCGCGCCATTCAAAAGTAGTACTGAATTCCGGAATATGTAGAGGGGGGTCAAGTGTCATCTAGAATTCTATAGAAGACTATTCATATTGCGAGCACATCGTTCGCGAAAGACGAAGACGAGATGTTGGAAAACTGTGGGCGAAGTTTCGCGCTACGGCGAGGATTCGAGGTCGAGGAATCGAACACTTTTCGCATTTTGAAGAAAGCGGAACGGAAATCTGCGACGAAACTAACCGAACTAACAAAAACTGCTCCGCTCGCCGAAAAGAAAATTGCAACAGTTGGACATTAGGGTTGCAGAAATCTGGGAATCACACTTTTTCCCGGGAAAAAATGACCTATTTTAACCAAACTTAAAAATCACACGCAGCATATGCAAACTTCAGATTTCTGCAATTTCGTTCTTCTTTTCGCGGGCAGTTTATAACTACGAATGCTTTTCTTAACGATCGAGGAGTCCGGCGCATGATTAAGCTACGCCAGGAAATGAGATTTCACTTTTAGAATTTCCCCGCACACTTTAATCCAAGTAAAATGTACAAAACCGCGAGTTTCGTCGAGCGAAACAAAGTAGAACAGCCTTCTCAAAGCTTCCTTTTCAATCCAACTTTAAAATTCAATCATACAGAAAATAAAACATTTACCCAAATACAGTACCTTCGTACTAATTAAGTTTCACCGAAGAAATAGCAGTTTAATTACCCAATTTCCATCGAAACGCTGTTTCCCACGCAAGCCTTAATATCTCACACCTAGATTACAGATTTTTCTGCGTTTATGGAAAATTCGAGAACACAGAAGTACACGTGATAAGCAAGAACATCTAAACAAACCGAAAATATAGCACTCGAAACAATTTCCAATCTACCTTCTATCGTCCTCGTCGATTATATTCACGAAACTACGAATTTGCATAAAAATCCTCAGCCTACCATCGCGGCGTAACACCTTCTTGCACTGTGTCCTTAAATTCGAATATACCCTTGCGAATTCGAAAGAAAAAAAAAGTTACATCGAAACTATACAGTTACCTTCGACAAACAATGATGTATTATACTTTTTTAGCACTTGTTACACGTTTCACTGCTACGTTATTCTTATGAGAAGGATGCTAGTCGGTATGACGCTAACAGCCACAAATTCACCCATTTTATAATCTTTACGATTGCCCGAGCACAGATAAGAGTATTTTTCTTCTTTCGCCCAGGAATCGATCTATGTACTATTATCCTTTTTTACTACGTTTCTATCATTACCCGGTACACTCAAGCTAGATGTAATCGGCAATAAAATTATCAATTATCTCTCTCTCCTAGATAATATTGTGTAACACAGTGGTGTGCAACGTTTGTGACGTGTCGGTAATGTATATATAGTATCAGCAACATCTCGTTATTATGTAGTTTTTTACGAATAATCTCTGGCTTTATCTGTTAGATATAATTCTTACATACGTGACGCAGTATTATTGTGTATTGCGTGTTTCGAAAGAAACAACCTGAAGATCGTTTCGAAAATTTCTACTTCCACGGAATTATATCGGAAGTTCTTCCTGCAGCAAGGTGATTTACCGCGACTTTAATCGGATTAACGCTGGCGTAATTCGTCCGTGTAACATTTTATTATCGAGTGAGAATTTCTGTATCGTCAGTTTGCGACCAGTTTGATATTCTGTACCGAATCGCAGAGTGTTTTTGCGTGCACAATTAATTGTTCAACGAGCGCAATTCTTTTTCAATTATTTTCTTCCCGTTCTTCCGTGTCGCGTTGCTCTTTCTGTTACGGCGAAAGAAAGGAGGTTGCGGCGTTGTAAATTAAGGGAAACTTAGTTCTACGCGTGTAGGAAATAATTTGAAAAATAAAATATAAAATTGATCTCATTTGGCACATCGACTGGAGAAAAATGTGAACGTCAAGGGGCTAACCTGTGTTTTAATAGTGATCGACGAATCCTTAATTTACTATTATTAATTTACTATTGTTTAATTTACTACTAATAACAGTTGCAGATAAGATTAGATTATTGGCTCATTTCCTTCTAATTCGAGGTATTTACAAAGGTTTCTGTGTTACACACACACACACACACGCACGTCTCTTTTACCACTCGCACAAATTTCAGAAAATTTTTCGAAAGCTTCTTAAGCTTCTTTACATCGCGTTGGCCAATAAATAACGTCAGATTTTTCACGGATTTTAACGAGTAATTAAAAAAAAGATTCATTAAATTCGGTTCAATTTTTTGAAGACGAAGAACGAGAATTATAATTTTTTTTCATTCTCTCAAAGGTAAAAATACGGTAAAAACAGTAAAAAAGATTTCTGATGTGCGTAGTCACGGTGAATGAAAAAATGGTACAAAGATGGTTCGAAAGGATTCACAATGCAGATTTCAGTCTTACCGATGGAAAAAAGAATAAAAACTAAAAATATTTAAACAAATATAATGAACTTTTTTTTTTAATTTCACGTTAAAATCTTGTTTGTCTTAATAACAATAGAAACGATCTCTTACAGGCAAGCATCTTACGTTACATACTTATTAAACAACCGAATATCTACGATCTTCCAAAGATAATTCCGAAGGACACAGTAAGATGTAGTTACGTTTTATAATGAAATAGCTTGCACAGTATTTCGAAAGAGAGTGTTATCTGAACTTATCAAATATTTAATTTTATCATTCGGACAATTCGACAGATTTAATTAGAGTAAGTGGCATCCTGTATAATTATAGGAAGCCATTATTGATGTGTCACTATCAGTCGCAAGATTTAAAGAGAAAGCTGGTGAAGTGAAATTACCTTGAACAATTTTCTACTCAATAGAGACTGTAAAAATTGTTTACAAAGGTTTAATGTTATATCTGATAACATAGAACATTGTATTACTGTATTTCATTCAACGATATTGACAGATTTATGGTAGCAGACGTCGCCATTTGCAATTTACTTTGGTAACGCTTTGAACGAATAATATCTTTTTTCTTTTTTTTAGAATAATAATATAGTTAGTGCAGAATTTTGTTAAGTTTGGTGCATAAGTAATTTCGTCTTTTTTTTTTTTTTGGTTTATTAAGTATATTCATTAATATTTGATAACTCACATGCTTTATATCGATCAATGTTTTTCCTGACACTATTCGCTATCTTCCGCCATCTTTTAGATAATGAGAGGTTACGATTGTCGAAAGAACATTGCATCTTTTGAATGGATAAAGACATCGGATAATTTTTTAATGTCGGAGAACGCAGAGTGGAGTATTTTTAGGGAAAAGTTGGTAAAAGTTATTTCACCAGTTTGCACTTAGAAATGAGGAAACGTAATTATTTGATACGATTTTACATGAAAATTCAGGGGAAAATGAAAAATTCGGAAATAAGCCGATTAACATTGATGATTTATTTTGTAAACTTGTAAACTAAACTTTAAAGGTGTAAATAAAGAAAACAAGAATTTATCAGCAATTTTTGAATTATTTTTGCGTAATATTATAGGAACGTTAGGTTGCAGACAGATTTTGCACACATTTAACTCACGACCTCCCTATATTACTTCCACCGACTGCACCTTTTCGACCAATGCACCAAAGTGTGCTTATAGGGAGGAGATTACAACCAATTAGATCCGCATTCCTTTCGCTACCCAACTTTCCACCTGTGAGCAGTAGATTCCGCTTTGTATTCCACAATGACCAGTGGTCGTTACGGTATTGTCATTCGTATAGTCGATGGAAGAAATATAGCGAGGCGTGAAAATTTGCATATCCGAGTGTATCGACAGGCGAATTAACAGAAACTTGAAAATATAAAGGCTCGAAATCTCAGTCAGGGCCGCGTGAAGTGTGCTTTACAATTCTTGTCGAATTAAATAGTGCGACATTCTATTAATTGAAATAAAATGCGAAAAAAATTCTTGCACACTCGGGAGAGACTCGAGAACCTCAGACCTTTCTATGTGCCGACCTACTGTGAATTCATAAATGTAATTTAAATTTCTCTAATATTCCATACAATGTCATTTTTCGAGTTCTATACTCATCCCTCAAAATTTCAAGAAAATTCCCGAGGAAACAACTGTAGAATCTTCTTCTTAGCTTTGATTTATTAAGCCTTAGCACTCGAGTGGCGACTGGGAAGCGATATTATTGTTTACCATTTGATAAATAATTAATCGGAGATCTCTTAATCCTTTCACTGCTATTGGCGCCTATAGACGCTTTGAAAATTTTGCTTGCACTGTGTTATTGAAGCATTTTGGCGCACTTCCATGTTAATTTAAGCCTTAATTTTTTCCTCTGCACTCTTTCACCTTAATTGAGTAAAACAAATTTTAAAACGAAACGATTTTCGCCTGAATCTTCCACGCGCGTTATGTACCAAAATCTGTCGCAGAAAAGGGTTAAGCTGATACTTTACAGGTCTATGGACCTCCCATAAATATCCAAGCGGTGAATTAGTTTGAAAGAACCAAATTCTTAACTAAACTGTTATTTAAAATAATGATAATAATCGTTTATTAACAAAATAAAATAGAAATTAAATATCTAAGTTGACACATTGCTGACAGTATACTATGAAATGGATCGAGACTGAAAAGAGTAGTTTTAAAAAAATAATTTTTAATAGTTGACGTGTAGACAATGCGAATTTGCGTATCTCGTCGCCGGCAGGTGAAAAACGAATGATTACAATTCGCGTCTCTCGTCAACATGCAACCGTGCTATTCCCACTCTTCTATCTATCCCACACAATCTTTCTTTCCACGCTTTCTACTCAAGGTCTCCTCTTCTTCAAATCTTACCCTACACCGCCGTTTTTTCACCACAAACTTTTTTCATCCTCTCCCAAACATTCGTAATCCCACCAGGTACATACACTCTCTCGGATTTTTCACCGTTAAAACCAAGGGTGGGCCTCCCAAAAAGTGTCTGCTCTCTACCCGCACCTTTATTGCTCTCTACCTGCATTTTGATTGCTCTCAATTGCCCTTCGTTTCCCAAGAAACGAACGAAGGTAAAAACGCTGTCGATCCTGCAATACAAAAATATTTTGCTTCACTATGGTAGAGTGACATTCATTGTTCGATAATTCAACGTGCTCCTACAATTTTTGCAACTGCGTTTGGATCGCCGTCAATTCAGATTCATGTTCTACATTTTATATGTAAATAACGCAAATTTGGCGTATATAATTCTTTTAAATTTTCTTTTAAATTCTTTTAAATCGAAAAACGGAAACAATTATGAGACAGAAGTCGGTAACGATGAAGAAAACAGTGTAATGCTCGACTAGAGCAGATTAATTTTTAAATTCGGAGAATTCCTGTATTTTATTATTTAGCGCGTTGTACGAGGAATCGCGTGGTATGAAAACAGTAGTCGCGATATCTTTGGCGCGTTATACGGCAATCTACTGTAATTATATTTGTCAATATACATAAATACGTAGATTTATTTCTACGTAAGTTTTAAAACACTTCGTCAATATGAATTCTTCAACATTATTGCTTCCCTATAGCAAAAAGGTCTTCGAATGTAAAAGATTAAAATTAAAAATTCGGGACTCAAAATCTCAGTTAAGATCTCATAAAGTAGTCCTCAGCTTTGCTTCAATCCTACTCGAAAAATGCCACATTCGACCGCTTTAATTTACGACCACGATATTTCTTCCATCGACTATACCTCGCCCTGAGTATTTAAATAGAGCTCAACTGACATTTTGAAAGCAATTCTTCCGCAGCGATACACCGTGACGAATCAAAGTAAGCTGTCATTTGCCTAATCAGAGATAAAAAGGGCGACAAGTGATTTAAACAATAATCTTTGAATGCATAGATACACCACGGCAATCGAAGAAATTGTGCATTAAACTAACGAGAAAACAAAGTGTTCACAGTTGATCCGCGATAAATTACAATCAACGTCGATTAATGAAGAAAGACAGCACATAGATTGAATTGATCTCAAAGAAGGCACGAGGGAATAGCCAAATGGGTTCTGTGCTAACCTATTTCCTCGGTTATCCGGAGGACAATATCGTTGATTTGAAAGTTGGCCTAACTGGAAGAGAAAAGAGACTTGTAAGAGAAAGTTGGAGTGTACTGCGTGTACAATCGGTAAACACTGGCGTTGCAATTATGACAAGGTAAGATGACGCACCTGTAATTAGGTCTATGCAACAATTCCCGTCGAATTTTCATCGAAGAACGTATTTATAATCGATCCAACAACACTGTACACTTATCGTCACAAATAGCAACCGCGAAAAGTTTAAAAATAAAAATAAAAGTACAGTGTCACTAATTTACAAACGATGGAAATTTTTGCAGACTTAAATAATTTTTAGAATTTTTGTAGATTTTCGTAACCTCTTGCCATGAATGCTCGAATCTATCAACTAAAATTAACACGACACGATAAACGGAAGATAAGATAGGCACTATACTTCGAGAGGACAATGGAACCAGAATTTCATTTCACTTGCAAATTATAAGTACCATGTGTATCATCGACGAATGAAAATAGAATATTTCTTCTTTTAGTTACTTTCAACAATATCCACAATATCAGAAAGTGTTTCCTGCGTTTAAAGACGTCCCGCTAGACGAGTTAGCAGCCAGTAAGAAATTTCAAGCCCACTGTCAAAATATCGTAAGCACTCTGAGCAATGCCATAGACGCTCTGAACGACGTTGATTTGATGGAAGCGATTTTGCATACAGCTGGCGAAAGACACGGCAGAAGAGGTCAAGGTAGACAAGAATTTATTGTAAGTTCGTTTCGTTTCCTTATTATTGTCCTAGGTCTGTGCAAAAGTTTGCAAATCAATGACACTAAAAGGCACTATATGCATCTTTTTTTCCTTAATTTTCTCTGTTGGTATTTATAATTAAAATAACACGAATAAAATAAAAAATAAATACACATTCTTCACAAAAATACGATGGGAGCTTTTGCATAGACCAAATACGTTCGAATAAATCTTTTTTTATTAATCAACTCGTTGATATTACGTGCACAAATTGCACTTCTTGAATTGATAGCAACTGTGATTGGTTACGTTCATAAGTTACAAAAGAATGCTCAGAAAACAAATGAATTTTAATTAGGAATACGATGAAATCGCAAATAATTTTTCAAGTATTGTGCATTTTTCTGTAGAATTTAATCGTTCAGTGGATTTATTTACGTACTGCAATTAAAGTTTGATTTTTACATAACACACACATTAGACGGAGATTTTTTTCTTAAAATACGTTTTTAATTCTTGTTTCCTAACACGTTACAGTTTGTCATTGCACAAATATTTTTCGAAAGATTATCACTGTTTATCAGGAGTGAGATCTTGTTCAGATTAATTGTATAAATTGAAAGTTGATATCTTTTTAACGCTGTTGAATCTTCAGTACTGGCGTTTATTGTTCAATGTGGTAGCTATTGCTAACGTTACAGGAATGTTATCAACATTCCATACGAGCTATTGATAAAACTGTCGATATAAATTTAATAATTACCGATTGCCGTCAATTAGGGGAAGTATAGTAACGTAGAATACGAAATGTGTCTTCTTTTTCGTTAAAATAGTGAATAATTTTTTAATTTCAATTTTCATTTTCATCTATTTTGACATAAACTCGTTGCAACGAACAAATTTTATGTAATAACTTTAATTTGTAAATATTTTACTACTTACTTTCAGTGTTGATTTTTTAATTTTCTTTTTCTGCAAAATTTTCGAAGGAACGAAAGGTTGCTCGATTTGCAATATTAACCCTTTGCACTCCAAGCATTTTTTGACAAGATTAGATAGCAATTTCAGTGTACTTTTGCAGTGAAACTTTTGAAAATATAAAGATTTGTTAAGAAAGAAAAGATTTTTAATATTTAAGTTGCATTATTTTAGTAATATTAAAAAAACTTGAATTTTACATTTCTAAGTTCTCCAGAGTAATGAAGTATGTCGCCATAACAGCGCCTTTGGAGTGCAAAGGGTTAAATGCAACAAATATTACAGAAGGATTGAAAAGAAATTTGGAGGCATATATCATCCTCCTTATGCCAATACATTGCAAAAATTCACAATTAAATTCAAAATGACACAAACAATTCTGGAGATCGAAATATTGGAAAGGGCCTAGCCGAATAAGCTATGGTAAAGTGCTCCCAAACCGAATTGATCTTGGTGCATATCATTCGATAGACCACTCGAAGAAAACCCTTTCTGCCAAGTATCAAGCTGGTACCCCTACTACTAGGGCAGTTACAGGGTGAAACGCAATTTACAGTTTAAGCTCCATTTCTTCTGCTCAATGAAAACTTATGAAAAAAATCACGGATGTGCTCTTCGCAAATATTAATCTTTGCGTCAAACTTAAATTTGACTATGAAATAATTTTGTTATCGCCTCCTCCTTCTTTGGTCACATTCAACCCATTTTGTCACCCAAAAAGTGAAAACGTTGGAGATTCATGGCTTTCGCGGCACAAAGCGGACGATATCTGCTTTAAAGCTGTTGAAACTGAAATGACGCTGAGGAAACGTCGGAATACTTTTCTACAAGGTCAAGCCTTGCACGCGGAAGTCTCCAGTAGTGTGAAAACGCATCGTCGATATGTTGATAATAGTTCGTTTATCGCTTCTATTATCGACACAGTTGGTTTAGATCGTTTAACGTTGATAATGGTACATATGTAGCTTCCGCCGAGGTGATTTCATATCAACAATTCGAACAAGTACCTACATTGTGCAATATACAAAATGTGATAACACTTGAACCGTTCAATATGAACTCCTTAATACCGGTGCTTTTGTGTTCAAATTAATTACCGTTAATAATTTTTTCAAGTATACGATATTGTATAGGCGCTGACTAACATTACGTTATTCAGTTAACTGTTTGGCCATAATCTCGCAGACGTGGGGTTCGATATCGAAGAATTATGAGTCAACAGACGGAACAATTGTGACTTACGAAGCAATAAATAGTGATGATTCTTCGGTTACATCGATGATTTTAGAATTAATGTATTAAGTTTAAAAGAATTGTGAGTCAATAAATGGGAAAATTATGATTTATGGAACAAAAAATGGTGATGATTCTTCGGTTACATCAATGATTCTAGGATTAATATATTCGAAATTAGTAATTTTAAGTACTTAACTTAAGTTTGAAAGAATTACGAGTCGACAGATGGGAAAATTATGACTTACGGAGCAATAGATATTAATGATGATTTACAAATTAATATATTCGAGATTAGCACTCTTGAGTAACTTAAGTTTAAAAGAATTACGAATCAGTAGACCGAACAATTATGATTTACGGAGCAATAGTACCACTATAGCTAAAGGAAATAATTATATGACCTGCTTTATATGACCCTGTATACCTGTGTAAAGGTATCATTGATTAAAATTAAACACCCTGTATTGTATTACTGTGTTACATTTTTCAGGATTTGAAGGGAGTGATAATAGAAGTGATGAAGGGCGCCTTAAAATCTAGATTCTCGACTGAAGTGGAAGCTGCTTGGAACAAAACGATCGACGTTCTATATTTGAAAATCTTCGAAGGAATTGAAAGCTCTGTTTCTATAGATCACGAACACAAATAAACATTATTTAACCGAAAAACTCTCAATTCGTATCGTCATCTGTGTGCGTGTAATCAGTGACTTCGCTACTATTTTCCATTTTATACTTCTTCCTTATCTCTTCCATCTCCATATCTCGCCGTTCATCTTCACTTTCCTGCTGTCTCAATTCTCTGCGAGTTAACATTTCCTTGACTTACAATATAACCCAAGAAAATGTAACGAAAAATAAATCTTTCAGTATTAATCCGTACTTGTATCTCTTTTCACGAAAATGTTGCTTAATTTTGCGGAATATCGTGGCGCATATTAGCGTCACCAGAGTTCCTAACATTCCCAGCAGAATTGCCATAAGAACAACGTCAACTTGCAGCCACGGATCGTCGTCTTCGTAACGTTTAGCCGGTTCGAGAGTTATCGGATGGCTGCAGAATTGAAACGAACAGAATGACATTTTCTCTCCAATAAATTTACGACGGTGTGAAAATTGCGTATCAAACTTGAGAGTAATGAACATTTGCTTAAAATTTTCTTTCTTTACTATTTCTTATTTCTAAAATCGTCGAAGAGTAGAAAACCCGTGAATTTACGCTTTTCTTTATTTCTAAAATTTGTCCTTGAAAAATAGAAAATTCGTCGATTTACCCTTTTTTTTTAATTTCTAAAATTTATTCTGGAAAACTAGAAAATCCGTCAATTTACGCTGTTCCTCTATTTTCAACAGTTCTCGAGATATTCAACCGAATATACTTACTACCTTGAACTTCGCCTCAAGGAAGTTCTCTAGCTAATTGAACTATTTCGACATAACGTTACGAAACTTACGGTAAATCAGTTTCTTCTTTGCCAAGTTCATAAAACGCTTTCACCATCGCTCTCCCTAGATCTTTCCCCAGTTGCTTGAACGCGGATTTGCCCAACCAGTCCGCTAGATCATTTCGATCTATTTGACGTAATCTGTGCGCCAAAACGTCGTGAGTTTTTCCTTTACCCTCCGTTGGAGAACTGTTCCAGTGCAAAAGGTGTCGTATGCAAGGTATCTCGTTGTCTATGTTACGTTCTTGACAATTGTCGAAGATCAGGCAAAAACAGAAAGGAATTATTCCACGCGAGAGAAATATGGAACGGTTGTAAACGAAGTGTGCAAGATTCTTTCCGGGAAAAAATTTCAAAAAATGTTCCAAATTAGAAGATTCATCCGTTTTCAATTCAGAAGGTTAATTGTTCGGTGATTTACCAGCTGCAGCTAAGTTATTCGGTAGCTCGTAAGTGGTGTAATGAAGCGCGGCTATCAAGCGTCGACACTCGAAGGGTTGGAGACGAGCAGCCAAATATCCCAGTTCGTTTAAATTCACATCGATTGTGCTTATTACCCCATACTGTGATAAAATAACGATGAAACATAGCCGGGGAAACATCGCGAGGTTAACGAAACGTGGATTGAAACAAAAGAATCTCTCCTTCGTTTTGTTTCAAAATTTCATAGACGATCGTTAATAGAAGAAATACATAGACATGAATATTGCTCGTAAAGCAGAATTGCACGTGTGAACGTTTAATTAGAGCATTATACAGTTCTATTATTAATTATACACGTTTCATCTGTGAGGTCTTCTGGTGTGTTTCTTCCGTTTCTTTTTGTAACACTTGGAACAACCTGTCGGTGGTGGTTCCTCTGGTTCGTTTGGAACAACGACTGTATTGTTTTGCGTGGCTGTGTGCACCATTTCGTATGACGGTGCTCTTTTTCTTTTTATCCGTGGTTTTCGAACGAGGTAGCTCCTAGACACGTCTCCGACATCGTCGATTGCTATGAATTTACTGAGAAAATAAATTTTATTATTCAACGAGGATATTTGTGCAATGTGCTGTTCGTGATGCGCGATTAATACTTTCACTGCTGTTGGCGCCTATAGGCGGTTTGAATGTTTTCTCGTGCTGTCCTTGACGCCTATAGGCGTACTGGAAATTTTCTCGCGTTGTCCTTGACGCTTACAGCCGCATTGAAAATTTTCTCGCGTTTTCCTTGACGCCTACAGGCGCTTTGAATATTTTTTCGAGCTGTGACCTTGGCGCCTATAGGCGGTTTGGAAATATTCTCGCGCTGTGTCCTTGACGTCTATAGGCGCTTTGAATATTTTCTCGCGCTGTGTCTTGCTTTAAAAATTTTTTCGCGCTGTGCCTTGACGCCTATAGGCGGTTTAAATATTTTCTCGCGCTGTGGACTTGGCACCTTATCACAGCTCCATTTGATGAGCCTTCGAAAACAGCTCTACTCTCGGGCTAGCATTTCTCTATTTGTGCATCGAGTACCTGTTTGAAAAACAATGTAAGAAAATTATATTTACCCTTTCTTTTTTCTTCCCCACATCTTGCTGCACAGATTCGTTATCCTACGCCTTATGATCAAAGTGCAGCAACAAGTTAACAGTATGGTGGAAGCAAGAACGATTCCTCCTGTTTTCAACGATACGTTGACAGTAGTACGTCCTGTGAACATTCGAAATACACAGTTGGTAGATTAAAGAGGAATTATTACAGCGTTAACGAGATATTCATTACCAAGGATTGAGTCGATCGTTTGGTTTGACAATTGTTTGCTGTCTTTAGCATCCTGTTTCGGTTTGGTTTCCTGTTTAGCATCTCCCTTCGATTTGGGTGTTGTTGCTACTGCGGCTCCTTCATAGTCCCTGAAATATCATCAAAAGTTGTTAGAATATGAAAAAAAAAAAACGTAGAAATTTTAAACAAAAATATTTAATTGTAACAGAGTTATGTTTACGGCTTCAAACCGCGGAAACTTTCGGAATGACCTATAAAATAGCTCTACATAATTTACAAACTGCACTCAAAATGAATTTTAACTCTGTTAAATATAATATCTCTTTGGATAGAGAAACTTACTCCGACTCCTCAACTGCTTGAACATCGCGAATTACTTTCGGCGACTTCGATGTTTTCATACTGAACTTAGCGAGACAAGCGATTAAATCTCTCCTCCCGATCCGTTCGAGAAGATTATTCAAGATCGGATACGTGTTCCTCGTGACTGTTCTCAATTCACAGATCCATTTCACGAGCCTTCGAAAACAACTCTGCTCACGGGCTAACTTTTCTATTTGTGCATCCGACAATGGAGCTGTTACAAATTATATTCCAATAATTCGCATACTTTGTGGAAGAACTATAGTCAGGTCATAAATCGCGACATTAATCGAAAACATCACGAAAACATCGATTGATCTAACTGACGCGTGCCGTAAACCTAGTATTAACAAGGAGAATTATGTATCTCTCGAAGATATGTAACACAAGATTTTTTTCCCCACTTCGTTTTAACGTGTGACATTTCTAGCCCGCGGCTTCGCCCTCAGCTCTGCCCGCGGGCACCGACGGGCACCCTTGCCCACGATTTCGCCCTCAGCTCTGCCCGCGGGCAATCGTGCAAGTTAACAGGCAAACCAAAAGTGATAGAAGACAATCTTTCATTACAAAAACTAACGTTTAATTCGAGGATCAATTTAAGGAATCCACAAGGATGTGTTACTTTTTTCTTTTAATTTTAAAAAACACCCGTGTATATTTCTTTTGTACAAAGAAATACAGTACGATGTAAGTACTTACAATGAGAATCTAGGGAAACAAGTTTTACACACTCTTCGGATTTCAAGTTCGAAGCTAACAGCTGCAATTCTGGCACGTCAACTTCGGTGATGATCTTTGCGAATTGAAACGGAACAACATTGATAATTTTGCGAAAAACTACGTTTGCATTTACGAAATCATTTTAAAAAATGAGATATACCTGAAGAAACGAAGAGGTAAGATAGAGCAGAAGGAGAAGCAGTGCACTTTCTAGTATGTTCTTTATGTCCATCGAAGATTTTCAGCAAATTCGCAAAAATCCAGTTTTACGTACTTCCTCGATTTCGAACAGAAATCAATTCACTACCCCCATCGAAAAAACTAACATCGATTGTACACCTCATTGTATAGGTAAAATCTTCTTAATATTCTGCAACAAACGTGATTCTTTGGTTAAGATAACGAAAAGAGAAGTGTCAGAAGCGACGAGATTAAAGAACGAAAGAAAATTACAGCAATAAGTAGACTCGAATCTGAACAAACGTAACCTCGCTTAACAGACTATTCAACGTAATTAGCAATCACTATCTATTTGTTAAAAAAATTTTCTCGTACAGATCATCTTCGTTTTATTAAGGAATACACGAAGCAGAACACCTTAAAACAGTTTCAACGCGTAACTACATCTATAACTTCGCGTTTCAAGTTTATGAATTGTAGAAAAATGAATTGTTCGAACGTCGACTTTGACGTTAGATCATTTTCAGCGATCGAACTTCGAGGTAATTTATTAAGAGAATCGAAGAAAGGTGCCATAATAGTCGTCTGGCAAATCGATATGATTGAAAAACGACTGTCGATTGTGAATTCTGTCAAAAATCGCGTATTTCCTCTAATCTGACAGCGAAAATGTAATTCATCGATTTGTAGTGAATTTTACACGTGGTTCATTCTCAGAATGAAGTTTCTACACGCGTTTTACATCTTCGTTGTCGTTTTCACGGGTGACAAGGTGAGCTCTTCGAAGTGAATCGCGATTGTTAGTCATACTTTACAAAAGAAAAAATTCGCGATACTGAAAAATCAGTATCGTATCGTGTAACATAATGCATTGAGACGATACAATGTGATAACACGGTGTGAAGATAATCGAGCGATTATTTATCGTTTTAATCGCTCGTTTCGCGACCTTTGAATCGGAGGATTTCTCGTTTGGAAAACTTTCATTTTCCGAGAAACACCTCGTACAATTTTTCCAATTCTATTTCTTCCTTGATACCAAAAAATCTTCTAATCTTCCAAGATGAATAAACACGCTGGTAAAATTAGAACAATATTTAAGAAGAAATTAATATAATTCTATATGAAAATAAATATTTAAATCTTACGTAAATCTCTCGATATAAATTTAAGTATTTCATAGAAATTACGTAAAAAAACAAAAATTTTATAAAGAATTCGTTATGTTAAATCGTACAACATGGACGTTAAATGTGCTTCTGTGTTTTCGGTTTTTAAGGAAAAATTTTTGGTTCAATGTATCAACGAACTGGAGGAAAACGAGCTCGTGCATCTATCGCAGAAATTGAACGCTTTGGAATGTTTGCAACTGATTCAAGCTGTGTACGAATTAATAATACCGTTGAGAACGGAGCGTGAAACGAAGAAACATAAAGTGTCGAGTAAAGATTTAAACACGTCGACTACTTCGAAGGAGTGTCTTTTGAATCTCGAACAGTGGAACAACGACTTTCCAAGTAAAAGCTCATAAGTGAAGTTAACTCGAATTTACTTGATACGTAGACGAAGAAGGATCTATAGTTATCCTATTACTTTAATTATGTTGAGGGGGTGCACCACCCTGAGGCGTCTAAAAGTAGGTAAAGTTTGGGAATTTTTTTCATAGGTAATTATTAACTGAAAAGTTTCAATTTTTTTAGAGGATGTAAATGCAACTTTCAGCTTTCTTCTCGAATTTTTTAAAATAGAAATGTTACAAAATGGAGGAGTTATTGCGGAACGTCTTCTGCTAGAACGTCGATTGCTGGCCGCCATCGTGAGAAAGAATTGAAACGTCCGAAATAAAAAATTCTTTTTGATTTATAAATGAAAATGTATTACCTACAATTTAGGGGACGATTTTTTAGATATTTTAATTACTTTGATTTTTTAGAGACGTTTAAAGTTGATTTGTTTCGGTAAAAAGAGTTTTTTCCTCTTCAAACTGCCACCATTTTTGTACTAATTGAAATTTTTGAAAAATATTAAGCTACGTTGTAGATAATACATTTTTATTTGCGAATCATAAAGAATTGTTTAGTTTAGACGTTCCAATTTTTGGCGGCGATGGCGAACAGTAATCTATGTTCCAGCAGAAGGTATTTCGCAATAATTCCGCCATTTTGTAATATTTCTACTTTTCAAAAATTCGAGAAGAAAGCTGAAAGTTGCATTTATATCCGCTAAAAAAATTGAAACTTTTCATTCGGTAATTACCTATGAAAAAAATTCCCAAGCTTTATCTACTTTTACTATAAATGTACACTATTTTCGATTATCTTCTCATTCACGAATAGTATGATATTAGACGTTACAGAACGTATACAATTCAAATTAAAAAAAAAACGCATTTTGCAAGTGTTAATTATACACAAAGAATTTGTTTTGTTGCAAATAAGTTGTGTAAATTTCAAGGAAAACGACATGGATAATGAAGAACGCATTTTCCAATAGCAAATATAAAACCAAACGGACGTGCAGCGATGGAGATGACGTTACGATGGCTAGGACGACCTGATCTGGCAAAGTATGTGAGAGAAAACCGCGGATCAATTAAATTCCTCGACAAGCAGGAGTACGATATAGCCGATACGTTAGAATTTCCAGGACACAGAATATTGAGAAGGCACACCTCGGAAGAGGACAAACATTCGTCGATTCGTGAAAAGAAGCAGAGGATGAAGAAGAAAAAGAAGAAAAGGGGACACTGCGAAAGTTGCAAGGCGCAAAACAAAGACGTTCAAAAAGGGATTGCTGCGGCAAAAGCGTACGAATATTCGTAAGATTTTTCAAATTTTTATTAAGTTTCTTCATAATTTTTTGAACTATAATTTCTGAGCTGTGGTCACTTGATGATTTTACGAACTGCAGTCATCCAATTCATAACAGAATTGGATCTGAAAATTGTTTACAATTCCAATAATAATATTCTGATTTTCAAACGCAAAATAAGAATTGAAAAAAAATTGTTCTTCCACGTTGAAAGAATTTTTAATAAAATTGACATTTTATTAAACTGCTCCATACTTAATACTTTGCAATGAAATTAATGCAATGAATAATTATAAAATACGGAATATTGTTTAAATCAATTACCACCAAGTTACTGATCAAGTATTAATTTAGATCTGAATTTTTTTCTATAATTCCAGTAATAATATTCTGATTTTAAAACGAAAAATGGGAAATTGAATTGATGATAGAAAGAAAGAAAAAATTTGTTCTTCCTTGTTCAGAGATTTTTCAATAAAACTGACGTTTTATTAAACTACCCTAAAATTAATACTTTACACACAACGTGTTGCAACGAAATAATTATAAAGTATTCGAAATATTGTTTAAATCAATTACATTGGTATATTTCAGACATAATAATCATCAGCTAAAAAAGAAAGAAAATCATCGTACAAATAAAAAGGACCACGTTGAACATCGATCGATCTGTTGTTCAATCTTGTTCGTGCTATTTTTTATCACAGTTTGCCTCGTCGTTGTGTACTTCTTTTACAAGCGAAACCGTTCGAAGGCACGTGGTACGCGATTCAAGTAATTATCATTGAGAAATTAGCAAAAGCGTAATCTAAGCGTGCATTTTTAGTTAACGCACTTTGTTTTGCAATCGAGATTAACAATCTCGTGATGTAATTGCAGTTGTATGTATCAGTTTTTTATTTTCGCGTACTTTTTTTTTTTAGTCGCATCACAATAAACTTCTTACTATGTGGAATTTCTGGGTATAATTTATTTGCTATCTTCGTATTGATCGATTATTGATTTAAATTACGTATAAAAATATATTTCCCATGGTCCACCTTGTATACAATCAAATTCACAGATGAAAGCTTTCAGCGGTAAAATATTAAATTTATTTTGGATTTGTTCTTTAACAATAAAACCTGTGCGATTAAATTAAAAAATTTGAGACATTCTCTATGTGTTATGTATGTCAAACGCGAGGAAATATAATGTTAATGTAATTAAGAGTTGTTAATTTATCATGTGTGTTTCCAAAATGATATCGACATAAATACTTTCATACGCAAAGAAACACGATAGTGTTTTTCAAAAATGTATAATTCTAAATATATCTATAATATATATCTGAAATATTAAATGGAATACAAATTTTTGATCAATATGTCTTTTATATTGTAATGTCTTAGTTAAGATGCATCCTATCTTTTTACATGTTTTTTTTTTATTCAGGTACGATTGGAGCCAGGATAAAACGGACAAAGACACTTTCACCGATCAGTTGGAATGGAGCGACAAAGCTATCTGTTCCTGTTCGGATGTCGAGGGTGGATGCACAGGAAAATGTCCAAAGTGCAGTGGAAACGACGAAACACACTATACGGCGAATGATCGAACTGGTTCCAATCAATTTATCCATCTGAATTGCAATCGGAAAGGAAAGAAGAAGAAGAAACAACGGTTTAGTTTTCTACAGAAAAACTTTCAGAACAAGAAAAATGAGAAGGATCGGGAGAACCGAGACAAGAAGTGTGTTTAAATTGAAGAATTCTGATACTACTACGATAGAATGTAAAGACGAGCAGGATGCATCACGAATCTTTATGTAACGTGATGTGTCTTGTCACGGAGTTCCTAATAGTATAACAATTTTGTTTAACGAATTAAGGAAAACATTGGAGAAAAGTGTCTTAAAGAAACGCGAGAAGACGCCGATAATTTCTCAAAAGGATCAATGTTCATGCTGCAGATGTACATTGAATTCTAAAGGTATCTGTGAGATAAGTTTCGTCGATTTTACGATATTAAAATTCAGTGATCGATTTAATTAGTAACCTAACCTAACCTGTCAACTGAGAAAAACGAATTAACTCGTCACTGATTCACAAATACTTAGAACAGAAGAGTTTATTTATTGAGGGATTATTAAATTTTAAAAATATATCATATTCACATTTGCAAGAGCCAAAATGATTATAATTTTTACTCATTCTTAATTATCAACTATGTAGAATGATTTCTGTTTGAGAGGTGAACCCA